GGGGGGGGGGGGGGGGGGGGGGGGGGGGGGGGGGGGGGGGGGGGGGGTGATGAGTGGGGTGGCTTCCGTGGCCAGCGTGGATCTTGGGTGCTGTTGGCGAGCAGCTTTGGGTGCTGGGAACTCACGGAGGGGAGTGGCAGCGAGTCACTGCAGGCAGGTCAGACTTTCTCCCCCCATGCTGTGAGCTCCACGCTCCCCCCACGCCGAAATGTGCGCTTGAGGGGTCACGTCACATTTGGATTCAGCTTTGGGCAGCCCTGCCTGGCTCAGGATGCCAGGTCACCGGCGGGGACATCACCCGGTAGTCCCCGCTGTGGGTCACCCCCCCCAAATGCCACAGTGTCCCCCACAGCACGGTGATCTCCTGACCCCCAACATCTCTCCTGGCAGGATGACCCCAGCGCTCCCCACAAGCTGCAGGATTCCCTCAAATCCTGCCTGAAGGATGAGGAGCCGTTTAACATCCACAACTCAACGTCGCCCAAGCACGACGGCGGCAAAGGGGAACAGGACGGCGCCGAGCTCAACTGTCTGCAGAACAACCTGACGTGAGAAGGGGAGGAGGAGGAGGAGGAGGCGGCGAGAGCGGGAGCCAGCCCTCCCGTGTCCCCTGCTCTACAAATCTCCGGTCTCCTCCCCATCTGGTATCTCTTCTTTTTTTTCCTCCGCTCCGTGGCATGCTTTGGTGTGTTTTTGTACAGAAGAAAACAAAAATTAATTAATAATAATACAAAGCCAAAGGCTGTAAATGGTCTTTGGCCGCGTCGTGTCGTGGGGGTGTTTGGTTTGTGCTCCGTGTCTCTCGCTTGGGTTAGTTCAGCGCTGTGATTTCTAAACCTTTGCCGTTCCGCAACTGACTTTTTTTGTACTTTACCCCACTTTTTTTGAAGTATAAGTAAAAACAACGAGGGGGAAAAAAAAAAAAAAAAAAGGAAGATCTTGAAATAAAACTTTTTTTTTTAAAAAAAAAGTTAAGCCTCTGGCAGGTGCCTGCAATCTCCTGACACACACAGCGGGTTTGGGCTCTGCTCCCCCTGGGTCCCATCTGAGCATCACCTAGGGTGGGTGGTGGGTGCCTGGTCCCCCCCCTCCCTGCCCTCCCCAGCTTTGCCAAGCCAGGGGTGCCAACACGTCCGCTGGAGCGGGGACGCTGTGGGGTGCTGCCATCCCAGACACGCTCGGGTGCAGGTGGGACACCCCGGGATGTTTAGCGGAGGTGCCTGGGCTGCACCCTGCTCACAGGCTCTTCTCCATCCCCATCCCCAAGTCCCCCCACAAAGTGTGGGTGCCCCGGGCCACCAACAGCGTGCTCCTGGCACCTCCAGCCTCTTTTCGATGGAGCTGCCCAGGATGTTAGTGGAATTTAGGCTTGTGCAGCCAAAACACCCCAGGGTTATCACCCCCTCACACCCCACACCCCCCCCCAGCTCCTTGTTTCCATCCAGCAGCTTTGATGATGCTGGCCTGGCTCCTGCCAGTGTAAATCAGCAGCAGCCCCCCCCAGTTGCCATCACCCTGCCCTGGGACCGAGCGTGGCGGTGAGCCAAAACTCACAGCTCCTCGGGAGAGAGGAAATGAAGCAATTAATCAACATACAATATTAAGAGTGCCGTGCGTTAGGGATGCAGCTGGCGATCTCCCCGGGGCAGGTAGGAGCTAAAGCTGCAACTCAGCGTGTTTTAGACATTCCCGATGCTTTCGGGGAGATGCTAAATAATTAATTCTCAGCTCACTCGATGAGATTAAAAAATGAGGAGTGGTGGTAGGAGCCGGCAGATGATCCCGGGGGTCATGCAAAGTGGAGCAAGCAGCTGACCAGCACCACTGAGGCTTTGTTTTTTTTGCCATTCCCCTTCCAGCGTGGAGCTGTACAACAGGTAAAACTGTGGATAAAGCACCGGGGAGAGCACAGACACAGCAAAAAATGATTGGGGGTTGGGGGGGGCGGCAAGCGCAGGGGGAAGAGCAATGGTTGGGGGAGCTGGAGCCTGGCTGAGCGGAGATGCCCAAGAAAGGCTCGTGGAAAAGCAGGCTGTCCTGGTGTGGGCAGAGGCTGGGCACGAGCTTCCCGTGGGACTGGGCAGGAGGGAAAGGGAGCTGGAGCAGGGTGAGCACCACTGTGACAAGAGGGAGAGGCCTTGTGCTTGTGTACAAGGAGCGAGGGGAGAAGGAGAGGTTATGGGCAGGCGTAAGGAAGGTGATGTTGGAGGGGAGCGGGAATGCTGTGGGGTTGTGGGTGAGAAACGCCTGCGGGGCTGTGGGGAAGAGGAGGGAAGGGGCACTGCAGGGATGCGGGAGGCCATCCCACATCTCCAGTTGCCCTTGGAGGGAGTCGGTGGAGCTGGATGTAGGGAGATATGAGGTGAGATGGCACAACCAAGGAGCGAGTCCAACCAGTCAATGTGTGGCTGCATGAGGGGCTCTGGAAGCTCTCCACTCTTCTGGAAGCTCTCCACTCCTCTGGAAACTCTCCACTCCTCACTGGGATCCTTTCTGATGGCACCTGTAGGTCCAGCCAGACGTAGCCTGGGGAGAGAAGGACATCTCCTTTGCAGAGAAGAAGCAGCCAGCATAATGGTGGTCTCTTGGCCAGACAAAGAAACCTCATCCCTGGCTTGCTGGGCAGCAGCAGGCAGATCTGCCCAGGGATGGGGCAGCCTTCACCCTTTGGATGATTTGGGGAAGCAGCCACCCCCGCCATGCTCCTTCTTCTGCTTGGAGGTGAAGCAGGCATGGCACAGCCCTTCATCATGGATGGTCTCACCTTGGAGGTGAGGCTGGCACAGCCATCCACCCTGGCAGAGTCCATCTATCCCACAGAATCACAGAATCGTGTAGGTTGGAAAAGCCCTTGAAGCTCCTCCAGTCCAACCATTGACCTAACACTGACCATTCCCAACTCCACCAGATCCCTCAGCGCTGGGTCAGCCCGACTCTTCAACCCCTCCAGGGATGAGGACTCCCCCCCTGCCCTGGGCAGCCCATTCCAACGCCCAACAGCCCCTTCTGCAAAGAAATCCTTCCTCAGAGCCAGCCTGACCCTGCCCTGGGCAGCTTGAGGCCATTCCCTCTGGGCCTGGCGCTGGGTCCTTGGCTCCAGAGACTCATCCCCCCTCTCTGCACCCTCCTGGCAGGGAGCTGAAGAGGGCCAGGAGGTCTCCCCTCAGCCTCCTCTTCTCCAGACGGAACCCCCCCAGTTCCCTCAGCCGCTCCCCAGCAGACCTGTGCTCCAGACCCTGCACCAGCTCCGTTGCCCTTCTCTGGACACGCTCGAGGCATTCAATGGCCTTTTTGGGGTGAGGGGCCCAAAACTGAACCCACTCATCGAGGGGCGGCCTCACCAGTGCCGAGCACAGGGCTCAGATCCCTTCCCTGTCCCTGCTGGCCACGCTGGTGCTGACACAAGCCAGGATGCCATTGGCCTCCTTGGCCCCCTGGGCACACTGCTGGCTCATTATCAATCCCCCCCAGGTCCCTCTCTGACTGGCAGCTCTCCAGCCACTCCTCCCCAAGCCTGTAGCGCTGCTGGGGGTTGTTGTGGCCCAAGGGCAGCCCCCGGCATTTGGCCTTATTGAAACTCCCCCAGTTGGGCTCAGCCCATGGCTCCAGCCTGCCCAGGTCTCTCTGCAGAGCCTCCCTGCCCTCGAGCAGATCAACACTCCCACCCAGCTGGGTGTCACCTGCAAACTGACTGAGGGGGCACTCGATCCCCTCATCTAGATCATCAGTAAAGATGTTAAACAGGAGTGGCCCCAGCACCCAGCCCTGGGGGACACCACTCCTGACCGGATTTAACTCCATTCACCACAACTCTCTGGGCCCGGCCATCCAGCCAGTTTTTTACCCAGCAAAGGGTGTGCCCATCCAAGCCATGAGCATCCCCGGCACAGCCCGTCCATCATGGATCTGCCCTGGCTTGACACGGAGGTACCCACCTTGGGAGTCTCCCAGGTGGGCAAAGTGGCAGCTGGAGTTGCTCGTCCTTCTGCCACCCATTTTGTGCTTTTCAGAAGAGCCCAGCACGTGGCCAAGGTGGGCAGTGAAGGGCAGTGGGGGACCAGCGTCTTGACAAGGCTGGGGGGTAACTCCTCAGTGCTAACCCCTCCTTTAAGAGCAGTGAGGAGTGGACCCAAGGAGGAGTCGAGGGGACAGGGGTCATCCTCAGCCCGGCACTCTCAGCTGAAGCTGCTCACCCACACAGGCTGTGGGGACTTATCGGGATTCAGGGCAAAACTGGGTCACAAGGATTTAAGCAGGTCTAAGGATGCTCCTGCTCATAACACACATGTTAAGAGAGCTGGGGGTATCTGTCCCCTTGTCCCTCAGCTCTGGGCTATCGGTCTGACCCCTTTAATTCCCCTCCTTGCTGTACCCCCTGCTTCGGACCCGACTCACCTACCCAGCGCATGAAGACACAACCTCCATTCCCCATCTCGCTCCAGCTGGCCACAAGCCCTGGAGCCGCATCTGGCTCTGGGCTCAGCATCCCTCGCTGTGCCTCGGTTTCACCCCCTGGGTGACGGCTTGTCCGCAGCCCACGGGCTCTCCTCCCACTCTGGCTTTGCCGGAGCACCAGAGGAGGAGCATGGTTTGTATGTGTGGGTGCATCAGGATGGAGGGGACAGGGGGTTACCCGAGGGGGCAGGCTCCCCGTCAGCACCTTGTCTGACATGGGGAGAGCAGGGGCGATGGCGAAGAGCATCCGCCGTGTGCCACACTGGTCACCAGAGCTGATTTTACGGGCCCTGTGGAGGAATTCGCCTCCCAGCCAACAAAGCAACACATGGGCTTTAATCAAACGCCTGATCACTTTGAAACGGCGAGGCTGCGGACAGCTATTAAATTTAAATGCTTGGTTAGTTCGCTGGGAGGGGAGGCAGCCTTTTGTGGCTGGGCAAGGGCTGGCACTGGACGCAGGGTGCGAAGGGAAGGGAATTGGCATCGGTACCGGGTCTGTCCTCCTCGCTCCGTTGTCCTCTTTTCTCTCGCAGACACATAACAGGATTAGAGCCGCGACCCCGAGACAAGGAGCCTTTCTTCCTTTTGACGAGCTCCGGCTGCCTGAAACAAAATAGCCGGAGTCCTGATTCACCGGCTGAGCTGCGCTCAATGCCCTTGGTGCGGGACGCTGCTCCTTTCGGATTCAGGGTTTGGCCATCCCTCCCCAAGCTGCTGGGAGCTTTATCTGGAGTGGAGCCTGGGGATTTGCTTGATACCAGGAGCTGGTAGGGTGGGATCTCTGTGCCCGTGTCCTCTCTAGCACCGTCTCTTTGCTGGCTCGGGTTTACACACACCAAGCACAGCTGCAGCCGTTGTCACAGGGTGCTGGCACCCACTACGCTGGCAGAGGCACCCCCTTTCCCTGACAGGTGGCCCCGGATGCTCCCACCCCAGCCCAAACCAGCATCCTGCTGCCTCCCTGGACCATGCCAGCGTGGCAACGCCGTGTCTTCCCCCTGCGTGCCATTTTAAACACCCCTGATGCCATTTCCATGCTGGAGAGCTGGCCTCACAGCCCCGGCAGCCTCCCTTGCCTTTGAGGAATATTTGGAAGATGAGGCTGACCACCTCCTTCCCCCTTAGTGGGTGCTTCTCTGACCCACACCCTCCACCACAGTAGGGTCTGGCTCCCTTTGACTACAGCTTGAGCCCAGACGTGCTCTGGTTGTGCACATCTACCGGTGGTCAGACGAAGCCTACCCTTACTGTCCCAACCTCCCAGGACCTGGGAAAAGGAAGGTCAGGCTTGAGACATCACTCCCAAACCCTCCTGACCCACATCTGGACCATCTCTGGGAGCTGCTCTACCAGCACCCCCCCTCCCAGGACTGCTGCATGGGGAGCTCAGGATGCTTCCTGGTGACCCAAAGGCACATTTGGGAGAAGTCCCGTCCTGTAGGTCAGCGTGGAGAGCTTGTGGGAGCATCTCTGCTGACGTCCAGGTCTTTCCACCATTGCCGGGCTGCCCCCTGGCTTGTGAGAGCCCTTAACTGGTATTTGTGTGGCCGCAAAGCATCAGGATCTCAGTATTTGGTGACGGGAAATACCAATTACTGCGTTAGCCTCACTGTAAGGGGGAGCGAATCCAGTATTAAACCGACTCTGCGTTGGATTTAAAGCAGAGAAAAGCAAAATCCTCTTAGCTTCATAAACTGCAAAATGCTCAGTGTGGGAAAGGACAGCTTGGCATGTGTTCGCTGATGCGAGTGAAGCTCTGGGGATGGCTTTAACCACACAGCCCTTGTTTGTCATTGCCCTGTGCCCTGCCGGCCAGCGCATGGGTTGGGTTAACTGGTTCTGCTGGGAGAGGAAGAGAACAGGGCGCGGACAGCCCAGCACATTTGCAGGCAGCGATGGCCATCAGCCACCAGAGACTGATTTGAGACGTAAAGGCAGGAGGCAAGTTGGCCGAGACTGAGCGTGGAGTGACCAAGCTCACAACCTTCATGAAGGGATGCGGAAGAAAAGGGAAATAAAAACAAGGGACCCTGCAACACTTTTGAGAACTGGTAAGTGAGCTCTCATGGGAGGCACGTTTAAAGGTGAAAGGAGTTAAGGAAACGGGCAGTTCTTCAAAGAAACGATGCAAACACCACACAAACCATCCCAATAGGAAATGTGGTAGGAACCAGCTTGGCTAGGTCGCAAGCTCTTCACTGACCTCAGGCTCAAGAAGAAAAGTTTACAGAAAGTGGGAACTAGGTCAAATTACTAAGGACAGTTGTAAGAGTAGCATAAGCATGTGGGGAAACATCAGAAAGGTCAAGGCACAAATTGAGATGGAAATAGCGAGCATCATTAAGAGGAAGAAGAAAAGACTTCATCAGCAGGAGGAGAACGAGCAAGGGAGTGTTGGTCTGGACCCAGCGAAGAAGGAAGGCTGCTGACAAAGGAGGCTGAGAATTCAAGGGTTTCACTGTAGCTTTTTTGTTAAAAAACAGTCTTTAAAAACGTCAGCTGTGAGCAGATGCCTACCACAATAAATAAAATAATGTGCTCTCCACCGAGAGAATGCTAACTGCAATAAATGAGAATATTAAACAGCGTACACAGATTGGTTAGACATCGTCTGAACTTCACCCTGTGGTGCTTAGAAAACCAGTTAAAGCCACCTCAGATCTATTAGGTAGCACAAGGGTTGGATAAGGTTTTACAAGACCAGGTCCAGTTTGGGGCATGTCACTTGAGGGAAGATGCAGACTATGGCAGAAGGTTCAGGGGAACCATCAAGAAAGATGAGGGATGCAGGAAAACCAGCCTCTGCACTGTGGGGTGGGCAACGTGGAGAACAGAAGCCCAAGGGAGACAGGAGAACTGCCTCGAAGGGTGTAAAGGGTTTCTTCCAAAAGTCTGGGAACAACCAGGGCCTGTGGTGGCACGTCAGAAGAACGGCCCAAGAAAGGTGAACTTCAAATGACAAACTTCAGTTGCCAGAACAGGCAGTTCAGCAAGACATTAGGAAATATTTCCTAACTGTAGGGAGAAAGAATCATAAGGACAGACTGCCTGGGGAGGGTGGACAGCTCTCCTTGGAGAGGTCGTCAAGAGCAGGTTGGATGCATCTCCGGGTGACAAGAATTGCTGACTGTCCCTTGCGGCGAGGCTGTGGGACTGCTGGTCCCCTGGGTCCCTCTCAGCTCTGGTTTTTACGATGTGTTTTCCAGCACAACACTTCTCCACAAGGACAGAGGTGGGGCTGAAGGGCAAGCTTCTCTATCAGCTAGACACTTTACGCCCGACTTTTTGCTTCTTTCACTCCCCGATATTGCTCGATGCAGGAATATTGCTCAGAACTAAATATACAATTTGCATTTATTAAATGAGTTAGAAGTCATTTTACAGAAGTACCTAGGAGTCTCGGTCTTGAATGAAGATCTCCTTTTGCTAGGTGTGGCAAAAACACTGCATGAATATAAGAGTTTTTGCTTCAAAGAGCTCAGAATTTAACTGCAAGGCAAGAGACAGCAGATGGAGACAATCTGTTGGGTAGAAGAGCACAAAGAAACAGTGAGACAATACTGGCTGGCACGGCAGACAGTGGGGTTTAGCACAAGCCAAGCCAAACTTGCTGGGGTTTTGTGCAGACGTTGGAAAAGGAGGAGATTTCAGGAAGGATTTGGGAGAAGATGAGGAGATTCTTGTGCAGTTTTAGAGCTCTAACTTCTGGAGGTGACCCAGGCCAGGGGTACAGATGTGGAGGGGAGAAGTGGATCTGTGAAGTTTTCTGTATCGTCCTCAGGCTGCTGAGAGTACATGAGATTGGCAGAAATAGGAGACAGCAGGAAAAAAGGAGCCGTGGGAGAGCTCTGCGAGCAAAAGTTGGGAGGATGAGAAGGAAGTGCTGCAGAAGGGGTGGTCAGAGAGGCAAGAAAAAAAAGCAGGATGGGGCAAAATAAGGAAGAGTCAGAAAAACGTGACAAACATGAAGGCTGAGGGAATGACGGCGGGTGGGAAGGGCAGAGAATCTGGCAGGGAGTGGTATCTTTAGAGCCAAACACCTGCAGCTGGGAGAGGAGAAGGACAGCGTTTTCTCTGCCTGCTTTGATCCCATTTTGCTTGCAGCCCTCCTCAGGATCTCGGCAGTTCCCCGCTGGGATGATTTTGCTGCCGGATCCCCGCTGGTTTCAGCACGTTTCCTGGGGATTTTTCAGCCTCTGGATTTTTCAGTCTCTGCTGGCAAAGGCCTGGAGACCCCTCGTGGAGACCCAGCAGGCATTTTGCGTCAAAATGGAAAACTGAGTTTTAAAAAATTGAATCAAACCCCTTTTTCTTTTCTTTTTTTTTTTTGTTTGTTTGTTTGTTTGTTTGTTTTGTTTCCTTTTCCTTGCTTTATGAATGCAGTAAATTATTTTTCATGGCCACGGGCAATCAGCAAACAAACCATGGTTAAATGTAGCAAAGGATACTTTGCAAGTGTCTAACGCGGGGATAATGAGGTGCCAGAAAGAAATGCCAAGAGAGGTTGCAGAGTCATCATCACTGAGGACTTCCAAGAACAGGTTGGACAAACATCTGTCAAGAAAGGTTTAAGTTCAGCTGATTTCGCCTGGCGGCAGGTGTTGCTCTGTCTGCACATCCTCGCCAGGTCCCTCCAGTCTTATGCTCAGTGATCCTGTGATGCTCCTGCTTTTTTCTCATAAGAAATCTCAGGCCTGCTCTCCCGTCCCCCTGCCAGAGCTGTTGCTTCTGCAAAATGGGTTATGAGCTTCATCTTCCCTTCACTGGGGGCTGACAGAATTGTAATTCTTAACCATTTTCTTCTACGTTTTTAGTAGTTGCTATATACACAGGGGGATATACATGTATATATGTATACAAATACGTAAAAAGTAATATTTGAAAAGAGAAAGAATAAAATTAGTTGCCCTTCCTGCCTTTCTTCTCTATTTACCTTCTACTTCTCTTGTCCCAGTCATATCAGACCCTCATAAAATCTTCCAGGACAACTAATACCCAGACGTGGGACTAACTCCAACCTGCTGTGTCTATCTGGCTCCCCAGCTTCATGCAGCCAGTGTGAGGAGAAGGTAAAAGAGGGAGACATATGCACTGATGCTGCTCCGCATTTTAATTTTGTGGGTGTCTTATAAAGGCAGCTCAGGTGTCCCAGCTGTTTTACCACATACCCAGGCATGTAAATTTGTATTTATTTTCCCTGTCTCCTCTCCGGACCTTTGTCCTTACAACCCAACCCAAACTATTTTATAATTCTCTCATCTGCGGCCTCAGGGAATCACAGGTTAGAGTCTTTGTAAATACCTGTGGGATTCCGTTTCAGCAGCAGCAATTTTCCCAACCACTGCCAAACTAAAAGAGACGGGAACATGGAAGCCAACCATCCTCGCTTCCCACTCCCTGGGTGCTACTTGGCTGTTTTACCCTCTACATTTCTGAGCCAGTCTCTGAGGAAGACAGCGAGGTGCCGTGCCAGCTAGGGTAATACCTAACCCCCCCCTTCCAGCGGGGGCAGGGGAGATCTGCTAGCTGCCAAAAGTGGGAAGAGTGGGTCCAAACACAACCGTAGGCAGCAATATTTGAAATTAGGAACTAACCATAACAAGCTCTGGTGTTTGTGGCTCATCTGCAAAGTGTAGACAAGCAGGGGGGAAAAAAAAAAAAAAAAAAAAGTCGTGTGTCCGCGTTGCTAGCATGACCAAAAGAAACCAGTTTTCCCCAAGTTTTCATGTAGAAAAGAGTGCTGCTAATGGCAGAGGGGTGAGGCCCGAGGTTACAGCAGGGTTACACGTCTGAGTAACAGCGACAATGACAGGAGCAGGCAGCAGCCACCCCCAGAGAACAGCCCTGCCTCTCACACTGTGCTCCCTCTTTCCACTGCCTGTCACAGGGAGGGACCCGCTGGCTTAGAAATTCTTGTCAAAGTCTGGCTCTTGCATTTCTTCAGAGAGATTCGGCACCTGGTTCAGCTCATCCATTATTCCTTCCAGCTGCTTTTTGCCATGTCAAGGCCCGAGCATTGAACTGGTTGATTTTATCCCCCAAACACAAGCTGAGTTAAAGGGACAACTTGCCCATTTCTTTTCTTAGCTGGCCATTGACTCAGCCCAACATCTGCTCTCTTATTAACCTTCTCTGGCCTCCAAGCGCTAATGATCTTTTATGACTCAAAGCATTACTAAAGCATTTAGCATTCTATTAGCAACAACGGAGTTATTTGAAGGCAAGAAAACCCTCCCACTTCAGTACGCTCCTTTTGCTGTGGTATCGTTTGATTTGTGCATTAAAATCCAAAGGGAGGGGAATATCCCGGGTCACCCAGTAACGCAGGCACCTCGTGTGCCAGAAGCAGATAATCAAAGGAGGTAAATCAAAAGTGCCTTCTCCCTAAAAATCATTCTCTGTGCACTCACATCAAGAAGTTTTAGTTAACCTTCCCTGCGATGAGCTTGGGAATTACCTCAACCACCACAAGATTAATGGTTTTGATTTGTTCAGTTGGGTTTTTTTCCTACTTTTGGTCACAAAGTGCTTTTTACCCACTGGTCTGACGTATCAGAGGAGCTTAATTGTAAGCAGCATTGTTACCTATGGATGCCATATGGCTCCACCATGCAATACTTACAGGGTTTGCTGCATTGTAAATACTGCAAATAAGCATGAAGCAGATGGGAGGGAAGGGGCAACAGTTTTAGCAGCAAAATTCTCACTGCCTTCGCGCGGTAACAAGTCATGAAATGTGAGAAGGAATATATTAAGAAGGACAAGAGGTGTTTTGAGAGATGCAGCTGTACTTTGCATGCAGTTTTGGTCCCCTTCCCACTGCAGAGAGAAAAAGAGAGGATTTTACATTTCATTTACAAGGCATTTAGGGCTCTGCAGCTCCTGAAGAAACTGGAAGAAAAGTGCGACAGAGAGAGAAATGTGGCAGTGCAGACAAAAGATGGCCTGAAAATGGCATGTTCGCTGGCATACAAATGCAGCCCTATAGAGAGCTCCCAGGTAGGAGCATCTCCCAGCTCTTCTCTGTCCATGAACTCCCTTGGCTGCCGTCTGCACCGCAGAATGGGGCTCTGCAGACAAACCATGTGAACTAGGAGGCCAGGAGCCAGACTATTTCAAAGGGCAGAGAAGGAATTAAGGCTCTGGCTGCACCAACACAGAGCAGGGACTTAGCTGGTTACTGGACTCCCTGAGACCAGACCCAGGTTCCCAGCTCTGTGAAAGGGTAGGAAAACAAAAGCAAAGTGATTTGGACTTTTAAAGAAGCTTTCAGCTAAAGCTTTTACAGAAATGAAGCCATCAAAGGGTAAGAGAGGAAGTCTTTTCACAGCTAAATAACTGGTTAAAAGACAGGAAGCAAAGAGCTGACACAAATGATCGGTTTCTGCAACCAGGAGAGATTACAGGCGGGATATCTCAGGGTCTGGGCTGGGACCTGGTTTATCCAGCGTATTCCTAAACACCCTGAAGAAGGGATGGAGCAATGGGATGATAAATTTTACAGATCATATACATACAAACACAGGAAATAAAGAGAGAATAGCTGCAATGGCTCAACCAAATATCCATACAGCTTTTCTACCACTGTCATCCTAACCAGGTGAGGGAAGACTGAGGCCAAGGCCAGCACTTCTTGTGCTCCCACAGTTCTTCTCCCAAGCTCCAGTAATTCACAGCCTGGGGACTCCCCAAGACGGTGGTGGCCATCAGGAGATCTCTCTTCGCCGGATTCATCCCCTTCTCCCATTAATTCACCTGCCTAAATGCACATAAACCTTCAGTAGTGATAATTTGTGGTTCTGCAGAGCCCCACGCTAAAACTGTGCAGACGTCTCCTCTCTCTTGCTCGGCGTTTGCCATTTATTAGCATCATTTGATGCCCCCTAATGCTCACAGCAGAAGAGACAGTGCAAGGCGGGTGCATCTTCTCTCCAGGCCCCCCTGGCACATCCAGGGCTCTGGCACATCACCACTCAGCCAGGAAATCCTCATCTGCATTTTGAAAATTGCAGGTTATGAAAGCTTAGATCAGGTAACGTAGGGGAAAGGTGAATTCAGTGCCAAAAAATGCAAATTCAGGCACACAGTCAAAAATAACACTAAATAATGTTGATTTTTGTGCTTACAGGCTGTAGATTTGCAGTTACTACTCAGCTGCTAGTTGGGAACTGCTGCGGCTCATTCTCTGTGTCCCAAATTAATGTTCAGCAGCACTCAAATGTGCTACTAATGCAATAGGAAATGTTAAGGGAGTAACAGACCCCTCCCAAATATTCCACTGTCCCAAGGTATATTATGTCTGCCATAGAAACCCAGGGGCCTGCAGTCACAAAGGGGTGTAGGGGGGCACATTTGGGCCAGAGATCAGGGTGGTGACCAGTGCCAAGTCCAGCTGGAGGCCAGTCACTGGTGGCTGGTACTGGGATGCAATCCCATTTAGGACTTTCACAGAATCACCTCAGTTGGAAAAGCCCTTGAAGATCATCTCATTCAGCCATGAACCTCACCCTTATTGTTCCCAACCCAACAGATCCCCCAGCGCTGGGTCAGCCTGACTCTTCAACCCGTCCAGGGATGGGGACTCCCCCCCTGCCCTGGGCAGCCCATTCCAACGCCCAACAGCCCCTTCTGCAAAGAAATCCTTCCTCAGAGCCAGCCTGACCCTGCCCTGGCACAGCTCGAGGCCATTCCCTCTTGACCTGGTGCTGGGTCCTTGGCTCAAGAGACTCATCCCCCCTCTCTGCACCCTCCCATCAGGGAGTTGCAGAGGGCCAGGAGGTCTCCCCTCAGCCTCCTCTTCTCCAGACTGAACCCCCCCAGTTCCCTCAGCCGCTCCCCAGCAGACCTGTGCTCCAGACCCTGCACCAGCTCCGTTGCCCTTCTCTGGACACGCTCGAGGCATTCAATGGCCTTTTTGGGGTGAGGGGCCCAAAACTGAACCCACTCATCGAGGGGCGGCCTCACCAGTGCCGAGCACAGGGCTCAGATCCCTTCCCTGTCCCTGCTGGCCACGCTGGTGCTGACACAAGCCAGGATGCCATTGGCCTCCTTGGCCCCCTGGGCACACTGCTGGCTCCTGCTTAGCCAGCTAGCAATAACCAACTCCCCCAGTGATCGTTTCACTAACGATCAGGATGGCGAGATGTGCTGGGGGGCCTGGGCAGGCTGGAGAAATGGGCTGAGAGGATCCTCATGGAGCTCAACCACCGGAAAGGCCAAGTCCTGCAGCAGGACAAACCCGAAGCACCGGGAAAGGCTGTAGGCTGCCCAGCCAAAGCCCCCTGGCAGAGGAGGGCGGGATGGGCGCCAGGCTAAGGGTGCCCAGCGACACTGCTCTACCCCCTCCCTCCAGCCGCCTGAGGGAGAGCGGGAAAAAGGCGGGCTACGGCCACACCCCCCAGCTCCCGCCCCTCCAGCAGGCGGCGCCGTCGGGCTCCGCTCTGCGCATGCGCGGGGCCCGCAGAGCTTCGCCCACCCGGAAGCCTCCGGGTCTCCGCTGCTGCGGCTGCCCGCCATGTTCGCGGAGTTGAACGACCTGCTGGACGCTTCCCCGCAGCGGCCGGAGACGGTAAGAGGGAGGGAGG